AGGAAACGAGGCTGTTACTACTCTGCCTTCCAAGTAGGGAGTCCATTGCACGCCCGGAAGTAGAAGGACACAGTTAGGTCACTGGTTTGTTTGGCAAAAATGTATTAAGTAATCACCATAGGGTTGCTCTTGGGTTTCTGAGGTGGTATTTCTATGGAAGTAGATCGCCTAATCTACTTCCATAGTGATACCACCTCGGAAACCCAAGGAGTCACTATGAGTCGAACCGACTCCACCGCAGTGAGTTTGGAGTTTTTTATAGGGTCACTAAAGGAACTCTGCTGATGTAGTGCCTGAGCCATTAAACCCCCAGCCACTCCGCAGAAGGAAGACTGGGCAGTCTCCTTCCATAAAGGTTTACCACCTCAGAAACCCAGTGAGGGTTGCCACAAGTCCAAATCGACTCAATGGCAGTGACTTTGTAGAGTCACTGAGTCAGAATTGACTCAACAGCAGTAGATTTGGTTTTGGTTTAAGGACTTGGGTAGCACAAATGTTAACACACATGGCTGCTGTCTGAAAAGTTGGTGGTTCAAGGCCACCAGAGGCACCGCAGAAGAAAGGCCTGGTAATCTACTGCCCAAAAAACCAGCCTCTGCAAACGCCTAGGGCACAGTGAACCAGCCCCCGACCTGACGGCAGCTGGGTGGGCGTTTCTCTGTTGAGGACTTAGACCCAGTTCATAAAGAGGTTGAAAGCTGTGCGAGAGAGGGTAGTGGATGAAGCAGGTTCCGGAGAAAACCGGACAGGGCTGGAGAGAGTGGAGGAACAGTGCTGGTGATGCCCTTAGAGGGAAGGAGGTGGGGAAGGAAGGATTCAGGCAGGTGTGGAATGAGGGCCAAAGGAGAAGCAGGCTGCTGACCACAGGCACGAGGTGGTGGACTCCGAGGGAGTGTGGGTGGAGGCGATGGGTGTGCGGGTGGAAGGTAATGCTAGCAGCCCGAGGGTGGGCCAGCACCAGCAGTGATACCTGTGCTTGACCGGAACCCTGCAGCCCTGCTTCTATCCAATGCCAGCTGGTTCCGTGAGTAAATGCTGACTCACGGCGCCCGCCCCCATGCCACAGTAGAGCTGCGCCCCATGGGGTCTTCAGGGGATGGTTCTTTCGGAAGCCGACTGCCAGGTGTTGACTGACAGTGGCTTGGAAGATGGGCAGTTTGTTCCTGCCTTGAGCCGTCGGGACTGACCCTTTCTCCTCAGCGCCCCATCCTTCCATAAACGTTTCTAAGGACTGCCTAGAATCCCACCACACCAGCCTGCACCTGCCCTCAGAAAGGCCTTTGATTTAACACATTTCCCCTTTTACGAGGAAAATGATATGTGCACCCAGTAAATGTGGTGTCCATGACACGTCTTTGACTCTAAACTGTTTGAGACGTAAAATAAACAGCAGTATCCCTGACGCACCAGACACCAAAGGTTCCGTGGCTGAGGAGGATGAGAGCAAGTTCCGTTGGGGTTAGAGACCTGCAGACCTGGGAATGGGGGCCAGCGACGGTGGAGGGAATTTGGGGCCCTGCCATATACAGGCCATGGCCCTGTCCATCCAGACCCCAGTTCAGCACCAGCCATACTGCATTCAAACAGCTTCCTGTCCAGATCTGGGCTGCAAAGACTGGGGGTGAGTTGTTGGGGTGAAGGAATGGTACTTGCCAGAGGCGTCTATCGGGATGCGGATTTAGCAGAAAAGCCAGTGAACAAAGACCATGAATTGTGCTATCCACTCCCCCTAAAAAAAGACTGAGAGTGTTTTAAGCCAAAAAACAAACCACTGCTGCTGAACCGCTTCTGACCATAACAGTCCTGTAGGACAAAGTAGAACCGCCCCATGGGGTTTCCAATGCCACCTTCACGGAAGCAGACTGCTACTTCCTTCTCCCACTGAGAGGCTGGTGGATTTGAACCACCAACGTTTCAGTTAGACGCCAAGCGCTTAGCCACTGTGCCACCAGGGCTCCTTGACAGACGTCGTAGGTGGTCTCAATGAGACAGTCACACCACGTGCTGACCCATTCATCCCTACAGGAGTCATTTAAGGTCACTGAATGGGCAGGAGGCAGTTACGGTCCATTTAGAAGTTAGCAGGTTGTGAGCAGCTATGAGAACCAGGTTTGATGGAAACAGTGTTCCTCAAACAAGTGGACTTGACAGTTATGGTCTGTGACACAGCTGAGCTGACCGTGACTAAGGACACAGCCGTGAGCTGGGCCAGCTGATAGGGGCTTCAGTTCTAGTCGGATGCCAGCCAGTGAGACCTGAGGGGCAATTGGTGTCTGTCATAAACTAATAGGAAAAAGGAAACGGTGAGCCCCCAGCATGTCCTTCCCCCAGCGAACGGACACACACACTGGTCCATCCAGACAGTAGATATCATGGCGCAATACAATGAACAAGCTGTCAAGTGAGGGGGTGAAGGGAGGAACGTGAAATACACATCGCTAAATGGAAGTGAGTGTGATTTCAGCTCTGTGCTATCTGGGGAAAGGCAGAGCTGTGGGACGCCAGGGGTTGCCAGGGGTGTGGGATGGGGGTAATGAACAGGGAAGCACAGGGCATTTCAGGGTGGTGACGTTATTCTGCACGACACCCTAGAGGTGGGTGAGTGCCATCCCACATTTGTCCACCATAGAACTGACAACCGCGAGCGGCCCCGATGTCGTTGACACGGTGTCTCTGTGTTGGTTCATGAGTGGTGGCAGATGTACCACAGGGACACAGGGTTTTAAGAGGAGAGGCTGCAGAGAGGAGAGGGGCATATGGGAACTCTGTCCTTTCCACACAGTTTTCTTGTAAACCTCAGACTACTTCAGGAGCTCTGGTAGAGTAGTGCCTAAGGCACTTGACTGCTAACCAGAAGGCTGGCGGTTCAAACCCACCAGCCACTCCTCGGAAGGAAGATGGGTCAATCTACTTCCCTAGTGATATGCCTCGGAAACCCAAGGAGGGGTTGCTGTGAGTTGGGTCCGACCCGATGGCACATAACAACAATAACAAACTACTGTAAAAATGAGTCTGTTTTTAAAAAAATCAGTGACTGTTGTCTCTGAATCTCGGCCGTCTTCCTGGCTCTCCTCTGAGTGTCTGCCCTCCCGACGGTAGCGGTGGACAGTGGGGCCACAGACAACAGTGGCCAGCGAGCTAGGCCTGCATGTGCTGCCCACGCCCGCTCCCCGGCCCGGTTTTAAGCGGGAGGGGAATATTCTCTATGGCCAGCCTGAGCAGAGGTGAGATGGATCTGCTGAGCAGCGTCCGCGCCGGCCACCCTGTGGACGCTCATGTTTCCCTTTCGGTTTCTTGCAGGTATGGCCTCACATGTACACGTCTTCTCCCCTCCCACCCTTCAATCAAGTGCCTTCTGTAGCGTGAAGAAACCGAAAGTCGAGCCTAGTTCCAGCTGGGACATGACTGGGTACGGTCCCCACGGCAAAGTCTACAGCCAGAGCAAGAACGCCCCACCGTCGCAGCCAGCCACCGCAGCCGTCAGCACCTCCTTGCCCCTCCCAAACCGGAGCCTACCTTACGAGCAGACCGTCATCTTTCCAGGCAGCACTGGGCACATCGTCGTAACGTCCGCAAACAGCACCTCTGTCACTGGGCAGGTCCTCGGGGGACCACACAACCTCATGCGTCGAAGCACTGTGAACCTTCTCGACACCTACCAGAGGTGCGGGCTCAAGCGGAAGAGCGAGGAAATCGAGAACACGAGCAGCGTGCAGATCATCGAGGAACACCCGCCCATGGTGCAGAACAACACCAGCGGGGCCACCATCGCCACTGCCACCACCTCAACTGCCACCTCCAAGAACAGCGGCTCCAACAGCGAGGGCGATTACCAGCTGGTCCAGCATGAGCTGCTGTGTTCCATGACCAACACGTACGAGGTCCTCGAGTTCCTGGGCCGGGGCACCTTCGGGCAGGTGGTCAAGTGCTGGAAGCGGGGCACCAACGAGATCGTGGCCATCAAGATCCTGAAGAACCATCCGTCCTACGCCCGGCAGGGCCAGATCGAGGTGAGCATCCTGGCCCGTCTGAGCACAGAGAGCGCGGACGACTACAACTTCGTCCGCGCCTACGAGTGCTTCCAGCACAAGAACCACACGTGCTTGATCTTCAAAATACTGGAGCAGAACCTCTACGACTTCCTCAAGCAGAACAAGTTCAGCCCCTTGCCCCTCAAGTACATCCGCCCCGTCCTCCAGCAGGTGGCCACGGCCCTCATGAAGCTCAAGAGCCTGGGCCTCATCCATGCCGACCTCAAGCCTGAGAACATCATGCTGGTGGACCCGTCCAGACAGCCCTACAGGGTCAAGGTCATCGACTTCGGTTCTGCCAGCCACGTGTCCAAGGCCGTGTGCTCCACCTACCTGCAGTCCAGATACTACAGGTAAGACCGTCTGCACTGAGACAGCCAGCGGAGGCTGACCGCCGGTGGTATTTACAGTGAACGTGTCCTGTGGTCCCCGCGGGCAAGTTGAAACTGCACGCCTGTACCCCTGCTGCAAGTGATTGTCACTAGTTGGGACCAGGACACATGTGCATGGAAATGACAGCAGCCAGATGGCAATGTCACCTGATGAGAGGCTTGGTGGAGACGGTCCGAGCGGGAGGGATGTGAGAGGCTTGGTGGAGATGGTCCGAGCGGGAGGGGTGCTGAGTACTGGCCAGAGGTAGATCTTTGTCCAGGTGTAGAGGAGAGACGGGGGCCTACATGACTGGAGTTGGGGCCGAGCACAAGGAGGACACCGCCTGCTCAGCAGGGGACTTGGGGGCCGTGGAGGTGTATTTGAAAGCATCAGTTGGGACCAGATTAGTAGAGGTCTTAGGTGCCAGGCTGAGGAGGTGGAAACATATGCTTTACTTCGGAATGCCTGCTGGGAGCTCTGGTAGCATAATGGCTAAGGCACTTGACTGCTAACCAGAAGGTTGGCGGTTCAAACCCACCAGCCACACTCCTTGGAAGGAAGATGGGGCAATCTACTTCCGTAGTGATACTGCCTCGGAAACCCAAAGAGGGGT